CAGTTATTTACCTAAGTATAAAGTATTTTTATTGTTTTTACAAATTCACAAGTAGTTTATATTTTATAAAAYACTTWTATTTTATTATATATTATTATTATTTATTATTTTATTAAAAGTTGATTTGATTTTAGGTTATCATTGAATACAATTGTTATTATATTATTATTTAATTGAAAAAATAAATATATATTAATATTAATATAAAAATTGTTTGGTTGAATGTTTAATATTAGTATATAATATAGTAGTTATTAATTTATTATTTTATTTGTTATTTTAATATTATCATTTTAATGWATATAAGTCTTAACAAGTAACCCAAAAGAACTGAAAAATAATGTTATTAATAATAATAATTAATTTTTATTTGATCCAAAAAATAAATAATAAAAAGGTGAATTAATAATTAATAGGAATATTATCACTGATATGATTGAAAATTTTAATATTAAGATTTAAAAAACATTTTAAAACATATGTTATAAAAATCATGTTAAAAACAGTTGTTTTCAACAATATTAATAGCATTTTATTTTATTTATTTACATGAACAGCCCAAGTTTGCTGTGTCTGAAACCCATTTACCTATGTATAATATTTAACATTTGTATAGGTAGGTAMCTAAATGGATAATAGTTTTTAATAATAACATAAACATGCTTAAATTTCATTAGATTACCYGTGTATAAGAATGTCTATATTTTATTTATAATAATTGTTACCCATCACAGCAGTTGTTTACATGCTAACAAGCAGTAACCAATGRGTTAGGTTAACCAAGCAGTAACCACCAATTTTTAACATAATATACCCAAAAATAGAGTGACCATTCGCCCCGGATTTAAATTATTTCTAAATTTTTATACTAATTCGTAATTATTACTAAGGTATTTAAAGATATTAAATTATTATATTAAGGTACTTAGTTTATTAAAAAAATACAGATGATATAGGTAGGTAATTGTATAATGATGCAAACTTACCTTACACCATCTCGTTTCGCACGGCCATTAGCAACATAATCATATCCCAAATAATGCATGTCTATAGTAAAAACACTATTTACAATAATAATTTACAT